CACTTCAATATTTGTCAAAACTTAATCAAAAAGCTATTAGGTGCATGGCTTCAAAAATGGCTTCAAATGTAAGCAAAATGCATGATAACAATAAAGCGTAATTTCAAATTACCAGCAAGAACTAAAAAATGTTTTGTATGAAAGTAAACCTTTTAAATTCAAATCAGCCATAACCTATTGTAGTAATTCGCTGATGCGACACAAATGACAACCTCGTTTCCAGGCTCTTCCCTCTTGTGGAGGAAAGCAGACTAGTCCCAAGTCCACGAAACGTGTGCAAGAGGACTAGCACAAATTGTTTTCTAGCCTGAAAAGCAGGCGCTCACAGGCTTGGTAAATCCCGTAAATGTTTTCCAATATGGCGGAATTCTAGAATATATAAAATTGTATAAACTTGGAAGAATATGCCGAATATTTACAGGTAAACGCGAGTATTAAAGGAGCAGTGTCACCGTTTGCGCATCTTTGCTGCGCATAAACAAAACATTTCGGAAATGGCCGGAACCATTCGGCGCAAGTGTGAAAAATCAAAATGGTGAGTAAAAATTTGCATTTATTTGCATACAATACATAGATGGAAAATGTTGAATTGATCATTCCCACATTTGCATAGGAAAGCCACTGTGATTGTAAAAGTTCTTGCAGTGTAAAAAGGAAAGAGAATGGAACTCGAGGTTGTCGTTGCAAAGGGCGAAATGTCGAATGTTCGGATAAATGCCGGTGTGGTACTCGCGATAAACCTTGCAAGAATAGAGTAAGTATGTCAATATATTAATTTAAACATTAAAATGATAAATCGAAAGCATGAATTTAACAATTGCTTTTATGATTTTCGTCTAGGCAATGACAGAAAACATGGGAAGGGAAAGAGACAACAGGAGTGAAAAAGCTACGGATACTCGTGCAAAACAAGGCAAAGAAAAAGGCTTTCGTCTTAGTTCTAAACCAACCGAGTCAGAGGAGACACAGAGGGAAAAGGAGCACAAAGATGTCAAGGTATAGCGCATACTTGAATTTGTTGAATACGTTTTAAATGAAGCCCTTTTTGCATGTTTGGTAAACTTTGTTTACGTTTTTGGCAGGCAAAAACTACCTAGAATGTATTGTATTGTATTCTTACTCTGCTAATGCAGCATTGCTCTCGTTCATGCTTATTTGACTACCAAAAAAAGTAAACAAGGTTAACTTATAGGGTCTGTAATAGAGATTTTTCAATATATTGAAATACTGTATACATATACAGTTTACAGTAAGGTACTGTACATGCAGGTACTTGGTTATAGTGCATTTGAAAGGATTTATAGTTTCACTTTGGGTTCACAAGTAAAAGTAAATTTATTCTCATTGTTGAACTTATGAACATGAATTTAACCTATTCTTGGTTTTCAACTATTCCCAGGAGAGACAATTGAACAAAAGACATGACAGCCATGCTGGTCGTCTTGATAAAAGAAACCACAGTCACTGGTGGACATTTTGTCCATTTGTCTCTCCTGTGAATAGTTGAAAGCCAAGAATATATTATTTTATATAGGCTACAAATACATTTGTACAATTTTAGGATTTTATTGCAACCTTAGATGAGGCCATGGTAAAAAAACTAGCTATAAGAAGCTTGCGAAGAGGGATCGGTAGTATGGACTACATAGAAACATTGCTCATAATGGAGGATGATCTTGATGAGGATGAAAATTTTGGTGAGTTTGGTCAAGCATCAACTGAGCAACCAACTGGTTCAGCATTGGCAGACAGTGAAACAAAGAACAAAGGTCCTGTTCCTTCCGACACACATAACCCAGATCAGATAGATGATTCAGCATCAGGTTCTGTTCCAGATTGGTGTGTTTGTGGCAGATGTCACCCCATGACACAAGATGTCGAGAATAAATGTTGCAAACTTAAAAAATGCATAACGCTTTCTTCCCGATTCGCGAAATTGTGTCTGGATCCTGATGTGATAGACTTGTGCATAAGAAACACAGGGGATATAAGAAACGATAGAGAAGACAACAGCAGTAGGGCTTTTCCGAAAAGCAGCCTATAGGCAATTTATTCTTGCACGCCATGGGCATCTTCGTAAAGGAAACAGACGAGTCTGCCCTTCATGTGTAGTAATGAAAATAAGGGAACGGTGGCCATCCATTACTGGAGTTTACATGGGGTATAGGGAAAACTAAGTACAGTAAACTATGTACCTTAACATAATGTGTTGCATGGACATTGCATACAGGGCTGAAGGAAGATGGTAAAAATAAGGCAGGCTCAACAGCGATTTTTATTTTCCACTCTTTCCAGGGGTTAGATTTACCTAGATTGATCTGTATTATGCAAACTCAAAACATGTGCAACTGTGCATTCATTTCGAGATTCACTTAGAAATTAGAATTTTCAGGGGGCCCTGCCCCCCATGGTTCCTACGGCCATGATTGCATCATTTGCTGTTACAGTGTATATTAAATCTATTGACTCAGTGGCACTCTGCTGAAATGCACCAACTTATAAATCCAAACATTTGAACCCAATTCTTCTGAGTGCATATAACAAGTTAGTGCATTGGTACGGTACAATGTACATAATGGTTAATATTTAGTTCATATTTAGAGCTGTGATTATTTATTTAAATTTGCAATGATAACAAAAAAATAGATAATTAATTGTGTACATTAAATTTTAGAAGCACAGCAAATTGCCTCAAAATATTTACATTAATTAGTCACTGCATTTTGAAATGGCAGCAATCACTGACATCAATCTTCAATATTTATTGTTTTGCAAATCTGCTTCTTCTTGTAATGATTTCTTTAGTGGTTGGTGGTGGAACATGTGCAATAGTTGGCGATATAAGGGCCGGGTCGCTCTTGTTCAGATCAACGACTGTTGTAACAAAATTTGTGTCCATAGCTCTTCTCCTCATCATGTGGGAAATAAGCACTGGGATGTATGCATATCCTTTTTCTTGCTTCACCTTCTTAATATCCCACTGCCGGGTTCTCTGGTTGTATTTTCGGGTGACAACGTTATTACCAGACTTGGATGTTTTCTGTGGGAGGTCAACATGGAAATTCCAATCAATAGCAGTGAGTTGCCGTCTTGCTTTGTAAGTTTGATAACTAAAATTAAATTAATCAGTCATTATTAATGCCCAATGGGGGGCTATGAAAAAGTTTTAAGGTGTAAAAGGGGGGCACAAACATATTTTCAGCATGAATGGGGGGGGGGTGGCTATGAAATATATATTCTCACTAGAGAGGGGGGCGGGGTGTCATAAAAAATTTAAAATATTTCTTAAAAAAATAAGGGGTTGTAATATTTTTTTTTGTATTTTGAAAATTTGTGTTGGTGTTTTATACTCAGGTGAATATGATATATTGATGTTGACTGGGCACAGCAGATCGCAGGTTCAATTCTCACCATGGCCAGGTTTTCAGCCTGCTTGGCATGGACACTTGGAGTACCATCAATGTGTCATATTCATACTTGCTAAAAACTTACTTGAAGGGAGTTCTCTTTGGAGTATATACCAAACCAAGACTGTTCACACACTCAATACTACCAGTATGCCTAAAGCAGATGAAATATTTAAAAAAATGCCTATATAATTCAACATTGTCTTTGAGACATGTATTGTAACAACCAGGCAGGGACGTAGCTATGGGGGTGCCCCCCCCCAAATGCAGTGTCCATTGGCACAATAAACAGCAACAATTTTTTCGGGGGAAGAGGTACCTAAATACCCAGTATCGTAAATAGGGCTAAAAGCCACCTTTATGTTAGGTCTTTCTGAAAAATATTTGGGCAGAGGGGGGAGGTCATTGGAAAATTTTGAAATTCTGTTGGAAATTTCGGGCTGGCAGCACCCCCCCCCCCAATCACGGGATATTCGCAACGTCACACCTGCAACTAGGGCTTGTGACAAGACACTTTTACTTTACCTGAAACGAGTATAATACTTGAAACTGTCAAGTAGTTGAGGGTTTAAAATAACTTTTTGTAACTCGATAAAGTCTTTATCTCGACGATCAAAAAAGGGAAGACTTTTGTCATGGCTATCATCACCATCTGTATCAACATGGTCACATTGTCCCCCTAGCCATTGGTGATCATCCGTGAACATGGACACATTTATTGCATTGGTTATAGTAGAACCAGATATAAATAATTTGAGATACAACAAATATATTGTTGCTACGCACATTCACAATTCCATAATAAACTACAAATATTACTTTACAATCAGTACCTGTCAAGAAGGGTTGCATCAGACCGAGCAAAGCTTGTATTCGCATCAATTGTTGCAATGGTATTATCCTCGACTTCATCTCCAATAACAGGGGATTCAGATGGAGAAGGAAGCTGTAGGCTTTCTCCAGTTTTTAACGGCGTGGATGTTTCTTGGCCTTAAAGAAATTGTAATCCATTGTAATCGGCCATGTTCAATGCATTACATCCATTCATTGAACTACCCATTTGACAATTCATCAACATTGATATAGCATTCTGTTGCTTGTTTACTGTAATAGTATATCATTTGGGGCTATTTATGTTTGTGGACGCACAGGGATTACCTTGATAAATATTTTGAATGGCTTGTTCTGTTATTTCTGTAGCACATTCGGTGGTTGCTTCACTTTGCGTTCGTCGCTGTGAATGCTTTATTTCCGACCTAAAATAGTTAAACAGCACACATTTCATTACGTCTTACAAATTGAATCAAACTTAAACATACAAATTTCATTATCCGTACCTTCTTCTATACTCTAAAGATAACAGATGCGCGGCGAAGTCGCTATGACTACATTTGTCGTATCCCGCCTCGCTTTTTGAGCTTTTCCACGCTTCAAAAATGTTATTCAATAAATATAGATCCTCTTGTGTTGACCTCCCCACGATTTTCTTCGATTTTCGCCTTCATATTTCCTTTTTCGTCCTGCATTTTCACGATGACCTCCTCGCACAGCTCCCTGCAAGGACGCCATCTTGAATAGTGAAATATGATAGTGAAATAGTTTGAAAACGTTGGCCCAACGATATCAAATTTCACTATGCGCAGAAAAGGTGCGCAAACGGTGACACTGCTCCTTTAAGGATATAATGGTTGTACAATGTAAATAAAACATAACTACTTACATGTAAGTTGAAGTTCTTTCAGGAATGACATAAATTTAAAGTAAATTGTAATATATTTAGTAAATAGTCTATTACCCTGATCTGTCGGCTGAGTTCACTGTTTGTTTTATATATGTTTTTATGTTCTATATATCAACAATTATGTTTTCATTGTTGTAATTGTAAAGCAAGTTAATATACTGTACATAACTACTGTTTTCATTCATGAAATGTCAAATATACTACAGGTTAGCTAACCTTAGACAAAATATAAAAGGCTTTTAGCCTTTTAAAAATAAAGACAGGATTTTGTGCATCTCACTCGATAGAACTAACTGTTGAAAGGTTTTATAGATAAATATTTTGTGTAAATTTCATACATTTATGAGTCCTAACCAGGGTCCATGGGCAGTTGTGCAAAATGCAAGTACAGCTGTACAGGCCTTCTAGCAGGAATCCAACCATTGCTTTTGTATATATACATGAACGTGCAGTTAGAGCTCAACACCAGGACTTTGTAACTTAGTTAGAGCACTGGACCGGAATTGCAGAGCTGCAGTTCTAATTCCTGCTAGAGGGCCTATACATGCATTCTAATTTAAATAGACAGATTTAGAGGATGCACCGCCAGAACAATTTGCCTCTTTTGTTCATAGAGATGTGGATTCATTTGAGCCTAAAAGGCAAATATTGCAGTAACAATATCCACAGTAATAAAGTGTACTTGTATTGAGTATCAATATTATTATGATTATATAGTGATTTGATGCAGGTTGATGGTAAAGTGTACAAAGTCATTTTTCTGGAAAAAGCAACCATCACTGAACAGGGCCTGCTTTATTGTCACCTTCAAGAGGATGTGATTTGCAACTTGTCATGGAGAACGTTTTTGGATATTCTACATGTATAAATTAATAAATGTAATAGATGCTTTCTCTGCAGAGTAACTAATAGAAGATGATGTTTTGGGGCTTATTGCTGCTTAATGGAGGCATGGAGCTATAATATCATTCAACAATTGAATAAATTAAAAATTCAATAAGAATTTTAATAATAAATTTCATAATAATATTACTACAATAAATATATTTGTTATTATGTATTAATTAACAACATTAATCTCCAAATTTTACTCTATTCCTGTTCACATGTGCCTGGACTGTTTATGTAGAAATTGTTTCAGAAATTGTTCTTACATACTAATTAGAATTAGATGCTGTACCTTGTGAATGTGCTAACATGAACTAGTTCGAACAAGTTTGCATTTGAATATAAACAAAGGAACACCGGTGTTCCCGGAAGTCCAACAACAAGCCATAGGTGGGTAGTGATCAGGTGATTCTTGTTTGAAATTACAAACATGATACTATGCAGACTGCAGTTCAGCCAGTTCCTGACTGA